GATACAACCTGTAACATCAGAGTGCCTCTGGGGGTTACTGATATGAAATGCATAATACATATATATACATAAACTTTTTAAAACATTCGCCTCTGTGGGCATCATCATCATATCGTACCCGGCCTCAAAGAGGACTCGGTAAAAGCGTACCCGACCATCATAAGGTTCGGTAGAATCGTACCCGGCCACGTGGAGCTCGGTAAACCCAACTGATCAGTGGTTGCACAATAGGTGCCGTACCCGGCCGACTATAGCGCGGCTCGGTAGAGTAAAATAGATACTATATATAATGCATGCTAGACTCATGGAATCATCTTCTAAACCTTTTGGAGTGACTTAAGAACATTATGGACATCCCTACCATCAATATGAACCTTAGTAGGATTTAAGGATCATACACACTTGTTTAGAATAATTTTATAAGGAAAGAACAACATGGACAACCTTAGTTGCTAGGAGTAGAGTCATTATGAAATAGCGTATCGTTTATGTTCATTTCATTTTAGACCATGCCAAAAGAAAGAAGAAAGTGCCTTAACATACCTTAAACCCGTTGAGTCCTTAATCCCTTCCAAGCAACTCTTCAAACAAGTCAACTCAATCTATCATAGTATAAGGAGATTCAAAATCAGTGCTGAGCAAAGGCTAAGTCTATAACTTAAGCTAGTAGCTCGTTTACGTAAATTTGGGCAGCATCTCCATTGTAACAAGGGCCTCCTCCAATACCATATACCAACAACAATGACCAGAGCAATCCATCAATACATAATTATCAATATCAAGACACCATATAACCACAACAAGTCACAACTACATTACGACGAGCGGCAAACTCCGATTGGAATCCGTATACCCCTTATCAATCCTTATAGACTTCTTACTTCAACATAAAAGTATCATTAACTTGATAATGAAGTCATTAATCAATGATTCCAGCCTTATACCATATATTTATAACAACGAAAATAATCCACAACTTCAACTATCCCCAACTAGCAACTTTATTCACTAGTTCAGGTCTAGCCCATCCATTTAACTTAATCAATATCAAGATAACCTTAGGCACAAGCAAGAACACAATATACATACCTCCTACAGTAACTTCAAGTCAAAATCCAAGTTATATTCATTTTACAACAACCCTTAATAGCAATACAACACCATAGAAGTGACTTAAGCTAATCCAAGTATTATCTTGTAGTTTATCATCCTAACAACTTAACCAACATACAAGCAAGCTTAAGCACAATTAGTAGGCTGTTATACTCACCTTATACAGCAGCAACAACTTGGAATTTCATCCAAATACAGCCCACAACAATCCTCAATGACAACACAACCTCAAAGAGGTGTTGTTCTTCACTAGAACTAAGTTTTGATATTGAAATATGGTATAATCACTTTGGAATCACTTCAAACCCTTGTGGTATATGCTTAGGAGGGTTAGGAGAAGTTTGGAGACGAATTGTAGTTGAAAAATGAGCAAAAGTAGGCGTCCAAATCGTTTATAAATTGAAGTAGGTCAACCACCGCCTAAGTGGGTCCCATTGGGAGCTGCTTGCGCGGTCTCGCGAAAACGCGAATATCTCTCTACTCCGATGTCGTATTGACGAACGGTTTAGTGCGTTAGAAACTAGACTCATAGATCTTAAATTTGGTAGGTAGAACACCCCATGATTACAAGTGTATTTGGAGAAATTCTTAGATACATTTGACCTAAAAATCAGCAAATTTATGAATGTAACTTGTGATGACCTTTGTCAACTCTTGTTCCACAACTTACTTTCCTTCAAAATGTAGAAAATGAATATCATACGACTAAAATAACTCATAAAATAACCTCCTTATCATGTTAATAAAGCTAGTCCCACCCCAAAGTACATGTTATAACATTCGAAACTTGTCGACTTTCGACGAAAATTATTTTCTTCAATCGATTTAGCTTCTAAGATTCCCAACCCTCTTGGTACTCGTTATTCATGATCTTAAATATTTGTAACCTCCAAGGTAACATGATTAACTTACTTTATGTTCTTCCAAATATAATCTTATTTCTGAGCTTACATCAATGACTTACGACGTACTCTCACGTATGAAAACTTGGGGTATAACACTTTGTCAGTTTCACTGATGATTATTCCATGTGCACTTGGATATTTTTGATGAAAAATCAATCTGAGTTGTTTTCTATTTTCCAGACCTTCCACGCTGAAATTCAAAATCAATTTGGGATTTCTATCCGCACATTTCGTAGTGATAATGCCCTAGAGTATTTGTCTTCCCCATTTTAGCAATTTATGAACTCTCATGGGATTATTCATCAAACATTTGTCCGTACACATCTCAACAAAATGGGGTAGTTGAAAGAAAGAATAGACATCTTATTGAAACTGCTCGTACCCTACTCATACAATCTCATGTTCAGTTACGCTTTTGGGGGGATGCAGTTCTTACATCTTGCTATCTTATTAATCGTATGTCATCTTCAGTTATCCAAAACGTTGTTCCATTCTCTATCTTGTTTCCCCGTTTATCTTTGTTCCCTCTTCCACCTTGTGTCTTTGGAAGCACATGTTTTGTTCATAACCTTATTCCAAGAAAGATAAGTTAGCTCCTCGTGCTCTTAAGTGCGTATTTATGGGTTACTCGAGAACGCAAAAGGGGTATCAATGTTATTCTCCTGACCTCCAGAGGTACCTTATGTCCGCTGATGTTACTTTCTTTGAAACTCAATCATACTTCATTGGTCCAGGTAATCACTTAGATATTTCTGAGGTGCTGCCAGTTTTATCTTTTAGAGATTCAGTCACTATCTCTCATTCATCTTCCTCTACAAATCCAGTTCCACCACCTATAGCTCTAGTTTCACCACTTAGAGCTACAATTCCACCACTTATAGCTCTAGTTCCACCACTTATTGCTCCAGTTCTACCACCTAGTCCAGTTCAACCTTCTGCAGCTCCACCACTCTTGATTTATCATCGTCGTCCACGTCCAACATCAGGCCCAGGTGATTCACGTCCTGTATAAGATTTTGCACCTATTGCAGACTTGTCTCCTCTTAGTCAACCAATTGCACCCTGCAAAGGTGTGCGATCCACACTTAATCCTAATCTTCATTATGTCGGTTTACGTTATCATTGTCTGTAATCACCTCATAATGCTTTTATATTATCTTTGTCCATTGTTTATATCCCTAAGTCTACAGGTGAGGCACTATCTTATCCAGGATGGCGACAGGCTATGATTGACGAGATGTCTGCTTTACATGCGAGTGGCACTTGGGAGCTTGTTCCTCTTCCTTTAGTTAAGTCTACTGTTGGTTGTCACTGGGTTATTCGGTCAAAGTCGGCCCGCATGGCCAGGTTGATCAGCTTAAGGCTCGTCTAGTTGCAAAAGGATACACTCAGATTTTTGGTTTTATTATAGTGACATTTTCTCTCTCATGGTTAAAGTAGCATTTGTTCATCTCTTTTTGTCCATGGTTGATGTACGTTATTGGCATCTTTATCAATTAGACATTAAGAATGCTTTTCTCCACGATGATCTTGAGGAAGAAGTTTATATTGAGCAACCACCTGATTTTGTTGCTCAGGGGGAGTCTAGTGGTCTTGTATGCCGATTGCGCAGGTCACTATATGGTTTGAAATAGTCTCCTCGAGCTTGGTTTGGCCAGTTTAGCACAGCTATTCAGGAGTTCGGTATGACTCGTAGTGAAGCTGATCACTCTGTGTTTTATCGGTATTCTGCTCCTAATCTGTGCATTTATTTGGTGGTTTATGTTGATGATATTATTATTACTGGCAATGATCAGGATGGTATTACTAATCTGAAGCATTATCTCTTTCAGCACTTCCAGACTAAGGATCTGGGCAGATTAAAGTATTTTCTAGGTATTGAGGTCGCTTAGTACTAGCTCAGGTATTGTTATTTCACAGCGGAAGTATGTCTTAGACATTCCTGAGGAGACCGGAATGATGGGTTGCAGACCTATTGACACTCCTATGGATTCGAATGCTAAGCTTCTGCCTGGACGGGGGGCCTATTAGAGATCCTACTAGATATAGAAGGTTGGTTGGCAAATTGAATTACCTCACGATGACTAGACCTGACATTTCTTTTCCGGTGTTGTAAGTCAGTTTATGGATTCTCCCTGTGATAGTCACTGGGATGCAGTTGTTCGGATTCTTCGGTATATAAAGTCAGCTCCAGGGAAAGGATTTTTATTCGAGGATCGAGGCCACGAGCAGATTGTTGGGTACACAAATGCTGATTGGGCAGGATCACCTTCTTATAGACGTTCTACGTCTGGACATTGTGTTCTAATAGGAGGTAATTTGGTCTCTTGGAAGAACAAGAAATAAAATGTAGTTGCTCAATTTAGCACCGAAGTCGAATATCGGGCCATGGCTATGGCAACGTATAAGCTAGTTTGGGTCAAGCAGTTACTCAAGGAGTTGAAGTTCGGAGAAATCAACAAGATGGAACTGGTGTGTGATAATCAAGTTGCTCTTCATATTGCATCAAATCCGATGTTCCATGGGAGGATTAAACACATTGAGATCGACTATTACTTTGTCAGAGAAATGATACTCTCAGGAGATATTGTTACAAAATTTGTGAAGTCGAATGATCAGCTATCAAATATTTTCACTAAATCTCTTACTGGTTGTCGTATTAATTACATTTGTAATAAGCTCGGTACATATAATTTACATGCACAGGCTTGAGGGGGAGTGTTAAGTAGTTAGTCATGTATAGTGTCCTACATCGGGAAGTAAATACCTATTATTATGTAATCACTATATATAAATAGGGCATTGTACAACATTTTAGATTTTGAATAATATTTTTGTCCCGTGCTTTCTCACACCAAACACACCCTAAAAGATAATAAACTGGATCAACATAAAATAAGCAACTCTGAGTGTTTTCCTCCCGTTATACGAAGGGCTTTTCATAATTGAGCACTAAAAAAAGCCAATCTTGGTCTAATCTTCTAAGGGCCGTAAAGTTCAGATTGCTATTGTAATCAATGAGATCATTCTGCGGATGTACACAGCATAGAGGCATGAGCAAAATTACAACAATTAGCAACATGAAAACTAATTTTGATGGTATAAAGCAAAATCTTGATGTGATAATACTGGGAGGTGAAAATGTACAACCAAAGGTAGTACAACACCTTATGATTTAGACCTAGCTATTCTACCTGTATTGCCTATGCTCTCTTGTCACCTGTTGCATAAGACAGCTCTATTGGCTCAACAGATTTTCCTGGCATCTGAGAGGAAATCATACTTGATGAAACTCAGCTCCTCGTATTTTTAAGGCACAGCACCAAGAAACTCTCAGTTGATCTTAGGCTTGGCTCTTCTAGGCTTTAGCACAAGCCAAAGAACAAAGAAAACAACTAGGAAAGCAGGTATTGTTGTCATGTCAAACTCGACCTTAACATTCCTCTGCCGGGTGCAATGTATTGGATGGAGACTTTCTAGAGTAGTATCAACATAATTTACAAACCTGCATAAGAGACGAGATCTTTTTAGCAAGCAAATGAAAGTTGCTTATGCTCGCTAAGCATCCATCAGTGAAATACCATTTAGACTTGTGGCTTCCATATGTAGTGAAACAAGGTATTCTACTATCTCAAATTGGTGACACATGTAATTGCAACACTAACAATAAGGAGGTCAGGTAGTGGTGAGTGCAGCAAACATCAGTGAATGTCACTGTATCGGTCACACAACAAATGAAAGAAGCTAACCCTTTTGCTGCATCCTCTAAGGTATGGAGAAGTCTCAAGGCATCCAGATAATGCAGTTCTCCACTGACAGTTGAAATCTGTGAGGGAGCCATAACATGAAATAAATTGGTTAGAAGGTTTCATAAATGGGCTAAATTTAAGACGATGAGAGCCAACAAGATCAAACTATTTCTGGAAAATATCATTCTAACTTATGCAGCAAATGCTGATCAATGAGATTGAAATAAGAAACAAATCATTCCACAGAGCTTGGAATGATAGTGCATCAAGTGTTATTTATCTGGGGGGTGGGGAATAGAGCAAAAGGTATTTGGCAAAACATTGCGTACATAGTACTACTTATTAAGGATTGGTGAAAACTGTAAAGCACTTACTCTTCTCCACAAGCTAACAACATAATTGTATTTGTTCACCAACTCACGTTCATGGGTTTTGAAGAGCTTAAAAGTCTGTTCTGCTGTTCCAGATTAAGTATCCACAAATAGAAACTTTGATAAATGGGCAATTACGAAGAACTTATTTGTAAAAATATCAGCAACTTTTTCTGATCGGTACGAACATCAACAACTAAGGCAGAAAGTTTTTTTAAAACTAGTTGTCCGCTGTTCAAAAACAAAATATCACTCAATATTTTTTGCACAATTGACTTGCAGAGAAGAAGGGGAGCCTTGGAACAATGATAAAGTTGTTTCCGTGTGATCTGTAAGTCATGAGCTCGAGCCGTAGAAGCAGCCACTAATACTTGCATTAGGTACGTTGTCTACATCACACCCTTGGGGTGCGGCCTTCCCCGGACCCTGCGTAAACGCGAGATTCTTTGTGCACCGGGCTGTCCCTTTTAATTGACTTGCAGAGAACATTGTATTATGCAGAAAAAGTGATACAACCGATTAGCACCAAAGGTTCTATTCACCCGTCAAACAGATAAAATAAATCCTTTATGCACTCTGTTGAAGATAATTTGCAAAACATTCAAGTGGAATATATTCAACGAAACCACTCACAGAAACGACAAATTGTGCAATCAAAATAATCTTTTACTTGTACTCATCAAAATAGACCATTCATAAAGGATACACGTCCGCTCCATAACAAGGCGATGAACAGCCGAATTGACCAACTGAATGGACTCTTCAAGGGCTGTCAATACATAGCTTCGAGCAACAGTGTCTGAATGGAATTTGGAGATATGCCAGCCTTGGGAAGTGATGGATAGAGGGTTGCATCCAACTGACCAAATCCAGTCCTGTTAAAAGTGTGATGAGAAGAACATAAGTAACTAGGAGAAACCAGACTCAAATTACCAGCTTTTGTCTCAACGTAAAATGTTAAACCAAACTTAAGTTACCACTTCTGTCTCAAGGTAAAACATTAGGTTAAAGCATAAGTAGCACATTAAAGAGTGAAGTACACTCTTATTATGTATATTGCATTCTCATGAATACATTCTTTAAAAGGGGTCTCAGAAATAAAAAAATATACAATAAAACAGAAACTTTAAATTAATGAAAGCCACATATAAGCTTCAACTTTGAGTGGAAAACAATAGAATTATAAGTATGTCACTAGAATCTAATGATCTAGCGCAAGAATGAAAATAATACTAAGATAATTAGTATCATAAAAGTGTGACAAACTTCTTAGCTCTTACAATTCAGAGGGGAGACAAGAGAGAGAGAGAGAGAGAGAGAGAGAGAGAGAGAGAGAGACTATTTCAAATAATACTACGTGTTACTGATTTTGGAGAGCTTGTCCTGTCTCACTACCAAAAGAAAAACCGGTGCAGAGGAAGAAGTGTGTGAAACACTCAAGAATATAGCAAGCCCTCAGAATTAGTTAATTTACATGGCAAAATTTTATAAACCTATGACAGGTTACAAGTCTATAGACACTTAACAAAAAAATCGTTATAAATATATAGTCAGTGCGAGATGATTGCAAGATTCACATTTGCATCTACCTCAATTGCAGTTTCATGGGCTTGACTATAAACAAGATGAAGTGGAAGAATTCCTGCTAGATGTTCCGACACAGCAGCCAAAGCAGCTTTGATAGGCTTCCTGTATAATGGATGAGAAAGCAAATGCCAGATCAGCATTGTCCATTTCCATAATATCAAGCTAAGAAAATTGCCAAATCCCACTCAACAGACTTTTTTGTGATGAGATTGCATGTAAGCTAAAGAAAGAACAAGGTAACCGTGAAACCACATGGAGGGAATTGGCCATGTGATTTCATCTACATGAGGTCCGGTATTTGCCATGAGTTTTTTTAAATCTAACCAGAGATTTGTATGTTAGTGTCAAGATAAGTGCAAGATTTAGGATAAGATTTACCTGAATGAAGACATATGGATAGAGTGGATACATAACTAGTTAGGCGCAATTGATTCATTGAGATCTAAGATGAGCTATCAGCTAAGTATAGTATTATGAGTGTCATGAGATATGCTTCAGTCTTGGCAAGTGATAAGAGAGAATATGCATGATGCATTGCATGAAATTACTCAAGGAAAACATTTATGGAAAAATTACTCATGGAGAGAAACTTCCAGAAGAATTTAAATTTGGAATATCTATCCCCCCCCCCCCCCC